CATACATTAATAAAGAATAACTTTACTCCCAATAAGCATCATCACGGTATATACAACTATCAGTAATTTTTGACATCCTAGTGGCATGTATACATTTTTTAACTAAAAAAAACTCGGTTTAGTCCTAGAATCGGCTAAACCTGTAGCTCTGATGCCAATAAATGTAACACCCATAACCCGTATAATTATACCTATACAGATTATAGGTCTCACCCGAATTTCTAAAACCATTTTCCAATTCGAAAGCGATTTAAAATTTATTTTCTTAAAATGGTAAATGATATTATAAAATATCATATCATATGAATTATGTTTCTTTATAACAAATTTAATTCAAAATATTTTTTATGAATAGTGAACAGTACCCGTGAACAGTGGGGTATCGGTTCCCCTGTAGCAAAGAATTGGTTCCCTAAATGCATTCTGAAATTTTGCTTAAAACGTGGTTACTGTTCACTACTACAGTAACTTCCAAAAACTACATATAAAACTCATAAAAATTAACCTTTCAACACTATCAATTTATCAATTTGTTTCCAAATTAATTCAACAAAAAAATTAAACATTATCAAATTACATGCCACTATCTAAGTCAAATTCCATTATAGGATGTCTTACTGATATTGAAATATACTCCTCGATGCTTGATGTCGCGTTGAACTCTTTATTCCATTACTGACTTTTTACCTACGCGTGAAAATCATCATACGCTAAGTATAAACTTAGTGAGGCAATTAAAACAATATACAGTGCAATACAATTCATGCATGAATTTCAATGACAAATTCAAAATGCCATAAAATCATTTTATTTTCATATCCAATATTTTACCATGATCAAAATAATATAAAATTTTTTACCATTTTTTTATAAGCTTATTTTACCAATATGCTTACCATTTATCCATAAGCTCGTAAGCTTATTTAACCAATACACTTGTCATTATTCCATAACCATATACCATAGACAATAGCCCAATATACAACCCTAAGATCCCAGGTACACGAGTCAAATATAAGCACCGTAGTGCTAATCCGTATGACACATAAGGTCGTGTCCACCATAATTCGTATGACACATAAGGTCGTGTCCACCATCTGTACTAGGTATCCTTAAGTACAGTCCGTATGGCACATAAGGTCCTACCCACCACATACACTAGGTATCCTTTAGTGTATCATGTATGCAACCTGCTGCTGGACTCTATGGCATGCCAACTATACCCTGTCCCTCAATGACTTACTTGGGCATACAGTCTATTTTATTTGATCCATCCATGGCAAAGTATATTATCAATATTTAACAATGGGGCAGTTCACACCCAAAATAACATTCATGGTAAAATATCACATTTTCCAAAATCAATGCATTATAATTTCATACTATGACATATCAATGTCATGTCAATTTATAAAAATATGACATAATATCATGCTGATATAAACAAGGTCGACTTATCGCAAGTCTTCCTGATGTATAAAACATCCATGTATAATTTCATGCATGTATTGCACTCACCTTGACACTTTATATCTTTAAAAAATATGAGTCTCATTATGTTCCATAATAAACCCTTTTTATACTTTACTTGCTTCAATCGCAAATCAATCATGATCTGTATAAATCACAAATTCATAATAATACATATATTAGTATTGTACTAACATAAACGTATCCCAAAATAACTCCATAATATATTTGAAACTCATTATCTATCAAAATACTTAACTCTTAATAATTCCTTTTAACATTGGAACCAACTTTTACAATTTACACAAAATGATCCTTCACCATTCAACCACTTATATTCTTAAATTTCCATATTCAGACAATTCACATACCTTTAAAGAATCATATTTTGTATTTATATACACACTAGAATTCAATTCTGTTTCTTCCGTTGAAAACTAGAATCGAATAAGAATCTATCCATATAAATAACTCCTTCTAATTCATTATGTACAATTTATGGTGAATTTTCAAAGTTGACCAACAGAATCTGTTTTGCAGAATCTGCTGTCCGATTTTTTTCTGACCTTTCCTTGGTTAAAAATTCATATCTCTTTGTATACACCTTGAAATTGATCCCCATTTGTTTTAAACAGAACTAGATCAATATATGAACATAATACATAAAAATAACCTCCAAATTATTTTTATATAATTTCTGGTAAATTTCCAAACCAACTGCAAAATTCAAAATATAAACTGTTTTCTTTAACCTCATCCCTAGTTTCTTCATCAATTCTTACAACCAATTCCTTAAAATCACTTAACTCTTCAAAACCCATAAAACACAAGAATCAACATCCCCTTTCATGAACTCAAGATGAACTTGAACACTAACACTATTATCATGCAATATTGGTACTAAATGATAGCGTTTTTCGCAATCACAATTTTCTATTTTCAGCATACTCAAAATCCTAAGGAAATTGCTTGAAAATTGAATTAAAGTTTTCTTTACCTTTTAAGAAGCCCACGTCTAGTTGGAGAAGAAGATGAACAAATTTGGATGAAATGTGGGAAACATGTCATCTTAATTTACATTTCATTCCACTTTAAATGAATATAATATTCATTTAGTTGAGATAACACCAAATCACCCTTAATGAATCTTCTTATTTACCATAAAACCATGACAACTCATCATTATCATATTTCAAAGTCAAAGCTGAATTATTTTGACTTTTATTTCAGAAATTTCCCTTGAAATTTTCAAAACTTGCGTTTTAGTCACTAAATTCCACTGTTTCGATTAAATATGAAAAATTGCACATTTCCAAACCAAATTTCTTTGATATAAAATATTAAAATAATATTTCCAACCATTTTATAACAACCTTCAAATTTTTCTAAAATTCCAATTCAATCTAAATTACTGATTCCTTATCGGCTTTAACCCTTTCAAATTATTCTTTACTAAAATTTCAAATCCAAAAATATGATTTCTATAAAACCACACTCTCAAGAGTAAACTATCTTTTAATGGAACAATTTTTTTAGGAAATGATCACTTAATTCCTCAAACTTTTCCCAATTTTCTACTTTGACCATCAAACGTTTAAAATTTGCATTTTGGTCATTATCTAAATTTTTGGGGTATTACAAATTCTATTGCTAGTATCTTCATGAATAACTACAACTGAACCCCACAGGTTCCCTAGATCATTGAAAAATTTATTGCTCCACACTAACAATGGGACATCTTTTAATATCAAACCAGATTCGAATCCACTCATCTCTACTATCCCAGCACGCCTTACGCTCCCTTGCCCCATTAAACTGGATAACCACCAGCATTTAAGGCCAAATGCTGACCCTTACATCAAACCCTTCTGCTAGAAAGACTGTGTAAATAATATCCTCATTATCATCCTTTTGATTTTGCCAACCAAAAACACTCTCTCCACCTCAACTCATTCTTAGGAACCATTATATTCGAACGAGCTGCAAGACTATTCCGACTAAAGCTAAGAGAGTGATCTTTCGAAATACTAACATGGATGACTGCACCCGGATCAACTGTTCTAAATTGTTGATTCGCTAATACCTTATCTTGTGACAGACCGACTTCATCAATCCGGCAGCCCAACACATCCTTATAGGACATGGAATCTCTTAGGGCCAGCTTCCACACCCTCTTCACCAAATTTCCAGACTCATATCTGTTGCTTATTGGTCCCGATGATTTATCGTGAAAAACTTTAATTCTATAACTGTCCATCAACCTCCCATCTGCCCTCCGAACCGCTACACTGGCTTAATGCTTGCTTATGAACCTCACAAACGCAAATTGGATCCATCAAATAGTCTCTTTCTACTTCTAAATGCAATAAACACATCCACCACTGCACCATACTCCATGAAAGCTTCCTTAAGGGTAGTCGGATGTATCATCTTGCTTACATTGTTGACAAAGACAGTATGAATCATTGACGATTGATCTGATCTCACCAACCCGTCTCTCCGTCCGAGGAACTCATATAAGTGAAAAAGTTTGCGAAAATGATGTTGCTTTACGTTTTGTGATTAAACCAGTAACAATTAAACAAAGGAAAGTAAATTTGGCTAAGATTTTGGCAAGGAGTGATAGGTTTGCATGAGGTAATATTTAGGCCATATGGTCCTCCCGGTGAATCCAAGGTAGCTCAGGACGAAGTTGATACATCGGTTACTGCTTCAGAAGATTCAAGTGCCCCAACAAGGAAATGTATCGATTTGACTCTGATAAACATGACACTTTTGGTGTTCCTATACAAGTGCTTACCCTTTCAAACATGTCACATTCTAAAAGAAAGGATTTGGTACATTGTTTGAGGCTTGAACTGGAGCAGATACAGATGCTTCAGAAGAAAGTTGAGTTGATAAGGACAAATGGGGTTACTGTGTCATCATCCAGTGATATTCTTAGTTGTAGCAATGGGAAATGCTGACCTTTTGTAAAGGATATTCAGAAATTGCCCATGATGGCTTTGAGCCTGGGAAGAAGAATCGGGGTTCTTCAGGAAAAGTGAAGCCTGCAAAGCAGGATTCAGAAGCAAACACAACAAATATTTTCTTAATGAAGCAATGTGAGGATTTGCTAAAACGGTTGATGGGACATCAATATGGGTGGGTTTTAAATGAACCTGTAGATGTAGTGAAGTTAATATTCTAGATTACTTCAATGTTATAAAGAACTCGATGGATCTAGGAACAATTAAAAAGAAGATAGATTCAGGCGGATATGCAAGCCCTTGGGAGTTTTATGATGATGTGAGGCTTACTTTCAGCTATGCAATGACCTATAATCCCCCTGAAAATGATGTCCATGTTATGGCTGATACCCTTAACAAATTTTTTGAAGTGAGGTGGAAAAATATTGAGAAGAAGTTACCTGCTGTTGGTACCCAGTTGATTCAAAGTAAAGCTTTTGCTGAGGATGTAGAAACTTCTAAGATAATACTTCCCACTAAAAAGTGGAAGATGACCTCCATCATCGAACAAGTTATACGGATGAGGAAAAACACAAGCTAGGTGTAGAGTTGGAATCTTTACTCCCAGAAAAGCCAATGCATATCATTGATTTCTTGAGGGAGCATAGTTCAAATGGAAGGGAATCGGAAGAGGAAGAAATTGAGATTGATATTGATGACCTCAGTGATGATACCTTCCTCACATTGCGGAAGCTTTTAGATGGCCATTTGCAAGAGAAACAAAATTGCAAATCAAGAGCTGAACCTTGTAAAATTCAGGTACAAAGCCATATAAAGGCAGAAAATTCAGTATAATTGCTTGCTATTGATGCTTAAAGTAATATATATTTGTGAACTGGTACCTATCTAAACTCTTACTTATTTTTGTTTGCTTTCTGGGAAATGATTTTCTGATACAGCTAATGAACAAATCTGGACTGTGCAGTTCACCCATGCAACAAGGTAGAGGTAATCTTTCAAACCCTTGTGCTTGATATCCCACCTCCTGAGCTATGTTCTAAGACTTCCGACTTTCTCTGTTTATCTTCTGCATTTGCAGGGGATGACCAGGGTAAAGAGCTTGTTGATTCTAGGGGAAATGAGCCTCCTGTGTCAAGCTATCCACCTAAGGAGACAGAGGAGACATGCCTTAAAAGCATCAAGTCTGCCAATTCTGGAAGCTCTAGAGGTAATCGTATTTTCTGTTTATTTTTGGCCCTCATCTTGTCAAATGATGAATCCTGAGTCTGCCACATTCTTTTGGATCCATTTTATTTGTGATGTCAGTTACCTAGCTGTAGACACGTTATTTCGTCTCATCTCACATTCATTCATATATTACATTAGACACGTATTATATTAATTATTTATTCTTTTTCTTATTACATGTTTCAGGCCTAAACAAGTGGCCAGACCAAGTACCAAACTGCTGGCCCACACCAAAACGCATTCCCACAAGCAAGTTAGGGTTTCCTGAACCCTAGCGTTCCAAGTCTCCACGTGCTGCAAGCCTCCCTCACGCTGCTCAGCCGAGTTCCTCGGTCAAACATCCGTTTTAATGGCCGTTTCTCGCAAAATCAACAAGTACAACGAACATGTGTTAGTAGGATTCCATCACCAACAAACAAGGTAGTGTTTTAGTCTATAGGACTAAAAAATGTAATCTAAAAATAAGGAAATCCTAGATTATAAATAGGCATGTAATCGACCATTTCTAACACTACACAGTTGGTACGAAATAAAAAGCAAAAATTACAAGCAAATCGTAGCCATTCCGAAGCACTTATATTTCGAAAAAAGAAAGGTAAAAAGCATAGCTTTGCATGTTGTTTTTGTGCCTTTGCTGCGTTTTGATTCAAAAGAAACACCAAAATATTGATTTTGGCTGATGACTGGAGGGGGTTCGCTTTTGAAACTTTTCTAGATCTACCCCTAAGGCCTGTTGTTTTTAAAAATTTCTTCGATTTTTTGGAAGGTGGGGGAGACAAGCTCTCGAAAAGCAAAAAAATATATATTTCGCCGCCGGCGCCGATCAAAGGCGGCCGCGAGGTAGCGCCACCGGTTTTCTGGGTTTGCTGCGGCGGTGTTCTTCATTGAACATCTTTGAACATTTAAGAGAATCAAATGAGGGCATTTTGATCCATTTTGGATCAGAGGGAAGAATGAAGGAGTGTTTTCAAGAAAATGACATGTATACCTTACCCGTTTTGACCATGACCCGACCCACTCCACGCACAAGATCCGTGTGGTTTCGTTATAAATGGGATAAACCGCGCATTTGGTCCTTATGGGTTTTAAACCTTCTATTTTGGTCCCAAAATTGCATTTAAACCCCGATTTCATTTTAATTTGGCTTTGTATTTTAATTTTATGATTATTAATTTTAATCCTTTTAATCTTTTTTTATCTATTACATTTATTATTATTATATATATTTTCATTCTTGTTTACTTATTATTATTACTTTTTTCATTATTTTAATCTATATATATTTATGTACATATCTCTATTATACTTTATGTAAATATATATTATTTCATTTTTTATATTATTGATGTTGATCTTATTTATTTATTTATTTCAATTGTATATAGATTATTACTACTTTATTTATTATTTTATGTTTTTAATTTTAATTTTATTTCTATTTTTATTTGTGTTTTTTGTTCCTTTTTATTTTCTTTGTCTTGTTATATTCATGTTGATTTCCCTATTTCCTTTATCATTCTCTATTTTATTTATTTTCATTTTTTCTCTAACTCGTCTTTTGACTTTTGAAAGGGTACATTTTCAACCAATCAATGCTAAGTTTTGGGATCGTTATTTTATTTTTAATTTAAATTTACAACTTTCTTAATTAAGACAACTGAGAATTATTTAGTACCAAAAGGGCAGTTCAAGGGTGCTAACCCTTCCTTGACTGTAACGACTCCCGAATCCGACACATCTTTGGTAAGATGTAGATCAGGTAAGAAATAAGGTATCCGATCTACCTATTTGTTTTAAAATAAAAGATCGGTTGTGACTCCAATCCATTTTCCTAAGTCGAAGCCCAATTCTGGGCCCAACCGAAAGACGGTTCCGACAGCTTGGCGACTCCACTGGGGACAGGTAAGTGAGTCAGACTAAGGTAATTTCCAATTGTCTTTTTAATGGAAATGGTAAGTTTAAATTTTAAGGTAATTTTTGATCTTATTACTTACTTTTGATTATTTTTCCCCAAATAAATAGTTGTACTGACGGTTTTCTCAATGATTTCAGCCTTTAAAGTCTTTTTCATCCAAGGCTCTATGCCCGAGCTTCAAACCCCATTTTTAAGTAGGGGTGAAAGCGACACCTTCGTGTGAATTTATTCACCGCATAGACCTAGCAAGTAGCCTTCGGATTCATATACCTTATGTATTTGTGTGAATTTATTCTCCGCATAGACATAAGGGAATGTGTCATCTCGAGTTTAACTTAGTCCATACAAGCATGTGATGGGTTTAAGACTAAGGGTCTGGCATGCCCAAGGGGGCACCGGCAAGGATAACTTGGGTACCATTTTTAGAACCTAAAGCTACAGACCATGGAGAATTAGAGCCTACCCCGAAACCCATTCCAAAACCTAGGATTTTTTTTACTCTAACCATGTTGTTTGCATTTTCCCCCTTATTTTACTAACTTTTTACTTTCGTGTTTATTTTATTTTTGCATCATTCAAAAGAGGTATTGATCGGCCAAAAACGTGTTCGTTAAACATGAATAATTTACATTAATGGACAAAGGGGTTGTAATACAAGAGATGAAAATGCAGAAGACAATCTACAAGGCGACTATGTGTCACATTCAATCCAGATGACGTGACGCACACAATTGAAGAGTATATCACTCTGTTGCGTTATAAAGGACTCAGAATGATCGGGTCTACATCAAGCACAATGAAGGTCTATCTTGGAAGAACTGACTGGTATAGGTTGCAGGGGAAAGATGAAGGTTACTGATCTTGGGAGTCCCTTCAAAGACAACAATGGCAAAACGATAGCTGAAATTGGAGACCATTGCTGACGAATTCAAGAAACGGACAAATGAACTTCACCTAGTTTCTATCAATTGAGGGGTCCAATGACGTATTCGTTGGGAACAAGTTCAACAAAAGATAAATGTCGGAGATGCAGTCATTCGAGACTTCTTGGGCCAGTACAAAAAGTAACTCAACATTTGCACGGTTCATCCAGAGAGGCCGAAGCGGTTCGACATGTTGTTCAACCGATGACATACGAAGGCAAAAGACTAGTCAATATGTCAGAAGCTGTCAGATATTTTTGTCTCTTAAAAGATAAAATACTTTTGTCCCAAATAAAGATTATTCATAATAACAGACACATTTTTTTGATCAATGCCTCGGATATTTCATGCATCATGCATTTAGACATATTTTGCATTTTGTTATTTTCTTTGCATTCACATTAACTAACGGAAGAATGCTTTAATAAAAGGAATAAATACTGGATACACCACCTCAAGCGTTGGACACACCCCATCCGCATAACACTCGTTTGAAAAAGAATAAAATGGAAGCCAGAATTTCTCTGATCGAAGAGAATATGTTAAATTACAAAAAGAGCTAGAAGATAAAATAAACAGAGTAGTATGAGTACTCTGAATACAATCATAAAGAACCAAGAGTCCTTGGTTGACCAGATCGTTGCCAAGTTAGTTGGCCTACGACATACTAGTGCGCCTGGGGCAGGTTCACCGAAGGGGTAACTATACCACTTACCCCACAAGTGGTTGTCTCACCTAAAATCTTGCTGGAACTTCGAGGGGACTCATCTACTGCAAAAGCGAAGCCCTCGTCCTCTATATTTAACCCTGAGAACAATCTGATTTATTACCATATACCAGATTCAGATGAAGAAGACAAATCAAAGAAGATCAAAGAGAAATCAAGCAATTGGAGGACCAAATGAAGGTAGTTAAAAGAGACGATGACTACATTGGAGTCGATGCCGCGGAGCTGAGCCTAGTTCTAGATTTGGTGCATCCACCAAAGTTTAAGGTACCGGAGTTTGAGAAGTTCGATGGGAACAACTGTCCCTCAGCCCACATCACTATGTTCTATCGGAAGATGACGGGATATAGGGGAAATGACCAACTCCTGATCCACTGTTTCCAGGAGAGCCTGTCCGGTTCAACTATTCGGTGGTACAATCAGCTTAGCTGAACTCATATTAAGACATGGAAAGACTTAGCCAAGTCTTTCTTGGAGCAATACAAATATATTAACGATATGAGACCAGACTGAGTTATGCTACAAAGCCTAGAGAAAAAGCACAATGAAAGTTTTCGACAATACGCACAGCGATGAGGGATTTGGTTGTGCAAGTTCATCCACCTTTGGATGAAAAGAAAACCAGGAAACTGTTTGTACAAACACTGAAGACACCTTACTTCGGGCACCTGGTGGCAATCACATCGGGAAGTTTCTCAGATATAGTTATGGCTGGTGAGATGATCGAGCTAGCTATAAAACAAGGAAAAATTAAGGGAAGAGACTCCAATGAAAGCCTCCCATGAAGAACAAAGAGCAAGAGATCAACAATGTCAACACCTACAATGTTAACAAAGGTGTTACGATCTCAACCACTGCAGCTGTATCATCCGATACTTCTAAACGAACTCAAAGAGAACCAAGGAACAAAGGGAATCTTACCTGACTAATTTGGGGATTAGACCTCATAATGTCTTCCATAAAAAGACTCGCATCAGTCCAATCCCAATGAATATGAGGAGTTGCTCCCAATGCTAGTTGAGAAGAATCTTATGACTCTGGTTCAGTCCAAACCTAGAGAATCCCTATATCCTGAAGTTCATGATGTTAACGACGTATGTAGCTATCATATTAGGAGCTCAGGGCACACCACTGAGAATTGTGGGGCATTGAGACGTAAGGTCCAAGATTTGATCGATTCAGGGGCATGGACTTTCAATGTGTAATGGGGCATTATGATCGAGAGTCAAATGGGGTATCCATCTGGAATTATGTTGCATTATCAAGCATATCATCTTGTTTGAACTTATTTTTCTTTTGTACTTCTTATGCGTGAACGTTTTTAAGTCATTTGACGTTTAAACATTTTAAATAAAATACTTCCTTCTTAGGAAATGAGTAAATTTTAATCTTGAATTCCTTGAATATCACCTTAA